TTTGTGCATTGAATCTAATTGATTAGTAACCTTACACTACATCAGCTACATTTAGCCTGTTGTAGCGTTAGCAGAGGTATGCTAGCATGGCGAGTGCCGAATTCCTGCAGGTTTTAGACGTTTCCATGGATGAAAACTGCAGATTAAAATGAATCACATGGACCACAGCTTTAATGGTAGTTTGAATAATGGTAAAATATTTTCTTCTGAGTGGTAGTGGATGAGTTTCTTTCAGGTGCATGTCACCGTCACCTTCACCTGTTTTAAACCTTTCCTCTGTGACCTTTGCCCTCATCATCCAGCCATCCTTCCATTAGTCTGCTGTCATTCCACGTGGAAACGCTCTGATGCTGCCGCACAAGGAGGATTAGTGGCCGCTGCGTTGTCCACCACTCACCTCAGCTGAACCGACACCAGCAGCGCACTTGTTGTTGAGCAATTCAGAAGGGCTGTTTTACTTCACAGCAGCAGTTTTTACAGAACTTTTGTTGTCGGTATCGGTCTTTTGACAGATGCAAAAGAGAAGTCAAAGGGCAAAGCAGATGACTGAGTGCTTCTGGAAGCCTGTCAGCTGCTGGCGTACCTTTGTGGCCTTGATTGATTCTGCAGAAACGGCTCAGAATCAACACAAAACTGTTGTTTTGCAATGCTGCTGCTATGCAAAGCCAGACAGGAATGACCAGCAGTCACAGTCTCACTCAGTAATGCTGCATGTTTAGACTTCACCATTTCCTTATGTCGCGAAAGAATAAAACTCCTGGATGTGACTGTATTTGGAATAAAGATCTCACTGTCTGCTCAATCTATATAACTCCTCCAAATCACCTTGTAAGTCTCCTAATAGCAGCCCGTGAACGATTTGAATTCATCACATTACTATATTCCACCGGAGTCTGATCCTCTACTGTATCATTTCACAGCTGGCTTATCACTGCAGAAGAAAAGAGGAAATGAAAAATGATGACTTTTAGGCCGCTGCGCTGAATTGATTCTGTTCCAAACTGCCACATCGACGAGATTGCAAATTCAACAACCTGTGCTGAGCAACAAATGTAGTGCATGATTAGACACAGTACATAAACGTGATTTATGCACCCTTTTAAGCTTTTATCGTTCGCACACATGGGAGTGAAACAGAATGATGTTAAACACGACCTGGAATTTGGGATCTGCCCATGCACATTGTGAAGTTGTTGAGCTGGGGGGAGATCTGGACATTTTATGGGTTGGATCAACAGTTTAGGCTCTTTACCTTTGTCTTTCAAGCTGTTTCTGAACAGATTTAGCAGTTTTATGAAGTGCATTGTCCGCCTTGCACGATGAGGTTTAATCTGGAGCATTTAGATGCTAAAGTGAAATCTAAAGAACACCGGCACCAAAGGATTCCCGCAAAAGCCTGTTTGAAACATCGCCAACCGTCCCACTGCTGTTTACTCCCTCCTTCAGAGATTAAACTTCCTCTGAGTTTTAAGGCAACAGTGGTAATCCGTCTGGGTGACTCATCCTGCAGAACTTTATCTTTAAATCAACTCCTAACAAACAGAGAGTGCAGCTACAAGAAAGGTCCAGTGAAAAGAAGGTTACCAAAGATTAAAGAGCAAGTCACCCCCTGCCAGATTCTTACGCAACTCCCACTTCCTGTTTGAAAAACGCAACAAATGCTGTTGCCTAGCAGACCAAGAGGGCGGAGCCTCTAACAAATACCCACACTCACAACATTGTGACATCATAATGTACCATCTAACGTCATAGTGTACCTCTTAGCCAATAGCGATGGCAGTAGGGCTGCAACAAACGATTATTTGGATAATCGATTAATCGGATGGGGTCTCGACACGATTAATCGGATTAAATGGGGAAATTTTAAAAAACTGCTAGGGAAACGTTATTTCTCTCCTTCCTTCACTTTATTTAACACAACATTATTAGAAAACAGTTCAATAGCAGAAAAACAACATGCCATCACCTAAATTGTCTTATAAGGTGCATAGACAGAGACCCTAAGCTACATCTATCTGTGACCTAAAATGCTTGGTCCAAGTTAAACAGCTTAAGGGCAATTCTCATCTGTTTTGTTTGATCTCATCTGTTGGCATTTATTTTAAATGTAATTAAACATAGGCTGTGAATTAATCAAAATTGATCACTATTTCCAAAAATGACTGAAAAAATACCAAATAAAACAAAAGTAAATGAATGCCATTCTCCTTGCGATGATGCCCTGGGCAACTGCCATAAAGTCACATCAAGAAATGCTGCTGATCATTCCAATGATCCCAAATAGACTCACATTAGGCCACATGAAAGCAACTGAACCCAAAAATATATTAACCAGTATATAACTGCACTCTCACACAACACGCCTGCAGCAACAGTTAGGACTCCTCCCTCCCTTTTAAAAGCGTTTTTGCTTCCGAGGACATTGTGGTTGTAAAACCACATGCTAGTAGTCTGGCCCCGGTGTGATCAACCAGTTTCTGCGGGAATGTGACGGCGGAACCAGGGCCAGATTAACACTTTGTTGTACCCTGGGCAACAATATTCAAGGGCTCCATCATCACGACCCAAGGATCACCATAATGTGGTCACATACAGAATATTTTACTGTAATATGCAGTAAATATACTCAATACTTGAATGCCTGACAACACGTAACCCGCCCAGAGTAACCTTTGACCCACCTCGTGTGGACTGACCAATGAGGAGAGGGTCTTAACTTGAGGCCCTCTCTTCATTGGTCAGTCTGCATGAGACTGACTCTCAACTGACGTTCAGTCGTAGGCAGCGAAGCGTCTCTGTGCAGTGCAAAAGCCCGGGTGGACAGTTTGTTTAATGTAGGGTGACCATATTTCCATTTCCAAACAAGAGGACAGGGGATCTGTGCCTATGACATCACACTATGGCAACGCCACACAAACCATGTTGGGACCCATTTTTTGTAAGAACTAAATTAATATCAGATTCTGCCAATTAAAGGGCTCTAAAACAATTCATATGTAAATATTTTGCATATTTAATGCAAAATCTAATTTTTCTGCTTTAGTGCTGCAACAAGGTTTTATAAATAATAAATTATTATACCTTTTGTTTTACTACAGCATCGGTAAGCTTCCTGTGCACAGATTATTAAGGATGCTTGTTTCAGCTGTGATATTAGACGATAGGATCAATGAAAAAATAAGTTGTCACACACTTCATGGAAACTTTCAGAGAATCCACAAATAGTGGCTTTCAAATGGTTTTGTTACTTTTTGCAAGTTTAGAAAAGAAGCAGATGAGACAGCATGTCTGATAATTTAGTTTTTCATCTGATAATATTAGAACATGTCAGTAATGTCTGAGGGGCTTTTATAAACACCGTATAACTAACACTACTGGAGAGGGCATGAATTACACAGAGGCTTCTGGGGAGCCCAGTTATTGGGGGGTGGGGGTGGGGGGGGGCATTTTGCCTTGGCCCCCAAAATGTCTTGAAACGGCCCTGGGTGTGTGACAGAGTTTTGAAGGTGATCTGAATTGTATCAGATGTATAAATATTACATGTGTAGAACTTATTGTTTTTTACAGGTAAAAACGTGTCGTGGAGATAAATCTACCTACATTTTACTTTGTTTTCATGTTTTTATTTAACTATTTTCCTGTCCTGTCTGTCTCTAATCTTCCTGCATCTCCTCTAAACTCTCCAGAAAATCTGTTGCCTGGATTCTTACCTTTTCACCTCATCAGTTACTTTTGAGCAGATCAAAGGGATCTCCTGACCGAAAAGCGCAGAGCGCGTTTTCGATGCTGCGTGAGGTGACATCACCACAGCACAGGTGATGAGCTCCGCAGTAGCGCGCTTCAGGCACAAATAAGACAGAAAATAGAGAACATGTGTGGACATGAACGATCGTGTGCTAATTATAGTTTTTTGGTTGCGCCACTTTGAGAATGGACCGTGCGCTGGAAGCAGCTGCCTGGATCGCTGTGCAACAATGCGGAACCGGTTCGCAGCAGCGCAAGTCTGCCGGCTCTCCCTCGCGCTGATCTGACTTGCTCTGGTCTGCGCGCAACGGCGGGCGGGAACGGGGGGCGCTTTTGGAAGAGTTGTGCGACACAACGAATCGATGACGCAATTCGTTGCCAACGCTTTTAGTAATCGATTTTCATCGAATTTATCGATTCATTGTTGCAGCCCTAGATGGCAGATTTAAATTCAAATGCAGTGCAGAGTTTTTGCCTGACGGCGGTGCAACACTGACAGTTTTAAGCAGAACATTTAAATTTTAACTAAGATGCACTAAAGTGCAGAATTATTGACTACATTGGTCTACAGCACAATTGGACACTCATTTATATAGTTTATCAGCAAAAAAATGGTGATTGGGAGTGACTTGCTCTTTAAAGATCAAGTCACCCCCAAATAAACTTTTTTTTGCTGATAAACTAAATAAACGAGTGTCTAATCGTGCTGTAGACCAATGTAGTCAATAATTCTGCACTTTAGTGCATCTTAGTTAAAATTTAAATAGTCTGCCTAAAACTGGCAGTGTTGTGCCGTTGTCAGGCAAAAACTCTGCACTGCATTTGAATTTAAATCTGCCACCGCTATTGGCTAAGAGGTATGCTATGATGTAAACTGGTACATTATGATGTCACAATGCTGTTGTTAGCCTGTGTGTGTGTGTATTTGTTAGCAGCTCCGCCCTCTCGGTCTGCCAGGCAACAGCATGTGTTGCATTTTTCAAACATGAAGTGGGAGTGGAGTTAGACTCTGGTAGGGGGTGACTTGCTCTTTAAAGACCCTGATGTTCCCTTCCACATGGCTGGTCTATGTTCTGCTAGTCTTTCTTATTTTCTCTACACCAGCTTCACTTTTGAGCCTCTTCTTTGTCTCACCTGACAGTCTCCTCTCAAAGTGTTTTTTCCCTTATGAACTCAACGTCAGTTGGAATTAAATGCACAAACAGTTAAAAGGTTTAAATTACTGGATGAGCAACTTGATCCTCTTATGTCTTTAGGGGTCCTAACTCTGTCAGTGAAGCACAGATTCCATTGTTGCAGCCGACAGACGGTGAAGCGCCGCGGCTTTCTCTGTAATTGCGTGCACGTGAAGGTGAGTGTGCAGGCTTCTGCTTGTTGTACGACGCTGCTGGCCTTGTCCTTGGATTAGGTGGTGGCGGTGGTGCCTCTGATGAGACGGGATGGTATCTGGGTGGATGAAACAAGGAATTTATGAAGAGATGGGTGGATGGAGTGGAGTGGAGGAGCAGGTTACTCCAGGGATTCATCAAAGGAAGACAGATTGAGGGAAGCACAAAGAAAGAAAGCGAGGACGCTGGCTGTCATCTTGCTTTCTCTGAGTCTTGTGTGACAGCGACTCAGGTCTGATTATTGTTGTTTGGCTTTTAGCTGAGTGAAAATCTGATCCTGGAGCAACTCGGGTCTCTAACTTTCAGAAACTGAAATAAAGAAGCTTGACAGGGCAGTGCTGCAGTGGGGGTGGGGAGGTCATTACTTATATATATTATCATATATGATATGACCTTATTATCACATATTAAAATTATAATAAAGTAGGAGGTCAACCTCTCCACTAATGGAGAATTATCCATCCATCCATCCATCCATCCATCCATTATTCTCCACTTATCTGGGGGTCACAGTCTTAGCAGAGAGTCTTAGGCCCTGTCCACACGTAGCCGGTGCCAAAACGTAGATATTTTTCTACGTTTTGGCCTGTCATCCACACGAAAACGGATCTTTTTTAAAACTCCGGCCAAAGTGAAGATCTGCGTTTTCTCCGTTTTGGGTGTCTGCGTGTAGACGGACAAAACCGGAGTTTTAAGGTCCGCAACGTCACTTTCCACGACAAAAAATGCTGACATCACGTGTGCGACCTGTGTTTACGCTAGCCGTCATCATGGATGCCCTCAGAGCTGCGCTCGCTTTATCAATTGTCCAAGCGCTTTTTGCTTGTTTGTTTTTGCAAGCGGAATTACTGCTCCTTGTGGAAGACCACAGACGAAGGACGAGGTTAAGAACGGGGGAAGTACTGCCGCCTACAGGTCTGGCATGTCCTTAACAACGTATTTATCCGGGTACGTGTGGACAGAGTTTTTTTTTTTTAAATGAGGTGGTGTGGATGCAAGTTTTTGGAGGGGCGGATATTCGTTTTTAAAAAAACCCGGCTACGTGTGGACTAGGCCTCAGACTTCCCTCTCTCCCGCTACTTGGGCCAGCTTCTCCAGGGACATCTTTAGACATTCCCTGGCCAGCAGAGAGACATGGTCCCTCCAGCATGTCCTGGGTCGTCCTTAAGGTCTCCTCCAGGTTGGACGTGCCTGGAAAACCTCACCAGGGAGGCATTCAGGAGGCATCCTGACCAGATGCCCAAGCCACCTCAACTGGTGGTCACTACCCAAAGCTCGTGACCGTAGGCGAGGGTAGGAACATAGATTGACTGATAAACGAAGAGCTTTGCATTTCAGCTCGGCTCTTTCTTCACCACGGCAATCCGGTACGACGCCCGCATCACTGCAGACACGGCATCCAATCCACCCATCAGTCTGCCGCTCCATCTTTCCCTCATTAGCATGAACCCAGTGAACTACAGTATATGTAAGATCAAAGTTTCATGGCATACACCTTAGCTAGTAAAAAAATACTACAGGAATCTGTTCTAATTGGCGCTTTGTCACAAAAGTCAAGACTTATACCCAACGAGTGTCTCTGAAAACGCCATTTAGTTATCAAACACTGATGACTCCTGCCTCCATTTAACTTAACTGCAGTTTCCAATTCCATGAAGTTACATTTTTTAAAATTTAAACCACTATTTCCTCTGAAGATGCTTGCCACGCTGAATTCAGACAAAGGTACACAACAAAAAGAAAAGAGAAAGGGATTAAATTCATCTGGACTTCACCAAAACCACACAGTCAACTTCAGACTTATCATCTGCACGATGAGAGCGAGGCTCATATTTATCTCAAGAGCCAGATGGACAGGAGTGAAAAAAAGGCCGAGAGAGGAGGAGGAGGAGGAACAAGGAGTGAGGAGAATGAAGGAAAAGCCAGAAAATTGTGAAACGAAGAGAGAAACTGGAGACGGGGAGACGTGGCATCGAGGGAGCCTCCAGTCACAGTCTTTTAGCTGATGATCATGACTTCCTTTGACAGAGACAATCAGTATGAAATGTTAACGCGAATGGGCCAGCGGATGCCGCCACAGCCAGATCCAGTCCTCCAATGGGGAAATAAGATGGTTAGTTAGACCGCACTAATCCACACAAACACTCAGATGCACGTGTGCTTGCTGAGATGTGCAGCCATGCAACAAATCCCAGAAGGAATGGAAATTTTATATGCAGGCCCTTGGTTCTTATACACCAACACATTCTCACTCCCAGCGCGTCAAAAACAAACGCTTGGTCAGCCACCCTCCGCGTCAGACCCCCGACGCCAAAAGTGCCCTTTTTCGTCACTTATGTGCGAAAAGTTTTTTTTTTCCCTTTTCTGACTGCAGAACCCAATGCAGCGTACAACTGACGCGATGGGATGTCTGCAGCCAGGGCACCAAACAAGCTCATTGTACCTAGGGATGGGTACCTTTGACATTTGAATCGATTCGGTACTAATTCCCTGTACCTTTAGATACTTTTGAGTGTTTAATATATTTAATTCTATTTTATAATTAAATATATATTTTTCTCAATATAACCATATTTGATAAATATCACGATAAATAACATACAACTGTTTGTATTTTAACATCGTCCTTGTAGTTTTATAAGCTGATAATTAAACTGAAGCAAACATCTTTACTGTGAACTAAATTTACTGTGTATCTTCATTCCTTTTGCCGTCCTTTTTCCATTTGATTTTTCCTACTGGGAAGTTAGAATTTCCGAGGATGGCTCCCAATGACGAGGCGGCTCCCGTCGTTCACTTCAACTTAGAGCCGTTCGTTCGCGACCGACACATCACTACATGGGAAACAAACGCTTGATCACAGTGACAGCAACGTTTTAGGTAGCAAGAGGGTTAAGGTTAGGAAGAGGGTGAGGGGAAGGTCTTGGACGTAATTTTCACTTTAGAAGTGAAGGGGGGGGGGGGGGGGCACGGAGTGGGGTGTGTGTTTGTGTTTGTGTGTGTGTGTGTGTGTGGGGGGGTATCTTTACAGTATGCTCTAATGGGAAACAGGCTTCAACACAAACGGTTGTTTTCCGCTTGGTCCTAGAGCTCAACCAGTGTCAATTTAATATAGCGTAATATTGTTGTTGGATGGTAAAAAGTGCAGGGGTCAAAACTAGACTTTGGAAAAAGTGGGGGGGACATGCCCCCCCCCAAAAAAAGAAAAAAATTACGTCCATGGGGAAGATTATAAATAGTGAAACGTTAAGGTTTAGGTGTGGTTAAATGAGCTGGTTCGTTGCCGCATCAGCGGACATCCCATCGCGTCAGTTGTACGCTGCATTGGGATCTGCAGTCAGAAAAGGGAAAACCCCTTTTCGCACATAAGTGAAGAAAAAGGGCACTTTTGGCGTCGGGGATCTGATGCGGAGGGTGGCTGACCAAGCGTCTGTTTTTGACGCGCTGGGAGTGAGAATGTGATGCGTATGCAGTATGTTGCACATCAAAAAGCACAGCTGCCTTGACATTTTATATATATATATATATGTGTGTGTGTGTGTGTGTGTGTGTGTGTGTGTGTGTGTGTGTGCGTGTGTAGGTTTGCATATGTCAGAAAGACGTTTGGAGAACTATCCATGAAGTAAAGTCTTTAAATGTCATAAACAAATGAAGAGTTTGAGAACGTAGAGGTTTTGATAGTGATTTATGCTGTTTTTATACTTTGCAGTCCCTACATTCCTGTTTCTAGGGCTTTTATTCCACTGTTAGTTTTAGTTTAGGGAGATTGATTGTCTCTAAATCAGCTGCAAATGTGAGAAATTGCCTTTTTAAAGTTGTTGGTCTCCTCCTGTTATTAAAGCCAGTGTGCACACAGTGATGGGTTCTGCAGCTGAATCCATGAAGCGAATGTCAACAGAAGCTCATCACAGTGCAAACAGCCAGACAGATATTAGACATTTAGAGCCTTAGAAGAAAAGAGACACGGGAAAGTCTGAGAAAGATGGGAGAATTTATACAGACCCAAACTGATCAATGTCAGCTCAAATATTTCACGTCAGCATGAAACTTAAAAGAGACAGTATGTAACTTTTTCATATTTTTAAATCATTTTCTTAAGCCAGTATGTGCTAAAATGACCCTTTACAGGGCTAATAAAAGGCCGCCCAGCCACTATCTTACATGCCTGGAGCTGCAGTCTGGTTCCAGCACGTTTTCTGCATGTTTTAGATCATGAACACAGCTGATTTGTTTAATTTAATGATGAACCACTCTTGAAGAAACTAAGGCTGGGGAGATGTTTCAGCTGTTAGATTAAAGGGACATCATGGACGTTTGACAGCCAAAACATGTATAGAAATAATAAATGTCTTCTTCATACATTCTCCTGCAATGCCCTGGTCCTGTAGAATGAGCCCTGGCATTTTTACTGTGATTGCCTGTTTTTCTGTAAAATCACAGAAAAAGAGAGATGCTCGGGTCGAGCAGGCTGCTTCATGCGCGTTCACGCTCAGGCATCGCCCGTAGCATTTGCTATCCGTAGCTTTAGCAGCAGAGAGAGAGGCAGTGCCACTTTGTCGCTGTTCCTAACGCCTAGTGACAAAGCTAGCTACATTTCTGAGGACCCTTAGCTACTTTCTGTAGAACTTTCTTCTAGATATTTCCTGCAAATTAGCAACAAAATAGCCATTTTCACTCCCAACCGTTCTTTGGTTTGACGTTGTTTCAGCTGTCATCAAGAATATAAAAGTTATAGATACCGTAAATGTTACTAGAGTGTAGCTCACCTTGTAAGATGTCTGACTCCCATGCAGAACATCTGGGTTTGATTCTGGGTATGAACATAGTTCATTTAGAGTTTCTTTTTTACATTAATGGTATATTTTTTTACAGTAAGACGCCCAAATTTTTATTTGAGACTCGCCGAACGGCATTGAATTCACAGATAAAAAAGATGTGGGTTCAACTTTCATTTTGGAACAAT